AATTGTCTTGGTCCAGTGTTGTCTGTAGTTAGATGGGCATGTCAGTATTGTTCTAAGGCTTGGAATAAGGAAACCCACTTTTATGTCAACATAAGCTTCATTCTCTAATTTCAGCCTTACGATTAATGAAAACATTCCATGCTCCATTTACCTCGTCTATGTCTGAATTAGTTTAGAACTTGGGTGGGAAAGAGATGTGAGTCACTTAACAAAAGCAGATTGTTGATTTTCCTTTTGATATGTTAAGTGTGAACTGATTTTATAACTTTCTAGCCTTGAGTAGAACAAGTCTAATGTCATAATTAACATATACTGAAATTTAACACTAAACACACAATCCTGTAATATTTGCACTCAGAAAATACACTAGGGAGAAGTTTCGAATCATACAACCTCTATACATTCATTGGGCCTTCCACTATAAGCAGATTTTTAGTCATTTTTTTCTAAGTCTACCAACCTTTTTCCTTCATACTTTTCATGAATTGAATAATGTCTTTAGTTTATATGAATATTAAATAACTTAATGTTTTTCTATAAAACTAGAAATATTTTAAAGAAACTATGGTCCCCAAATGCTCACTTTTCATAAAGGTGACATTAAGTGCCATAGAAACAAGAGTCCACCAACATCATGACAGTTGATGGGCAAGTGACATACTGAATTTAGGGTCCATACCACGGATCCTGTCATTCAGGAAGCTTTCAGTTGCAAGTTAATAGAAAAATCAAACTAAGACTGGCTTAACAAATAAAGGAAATTTATTGGTTCACCCAGTTGAAAACCCCAGATACACATGTTGCTAGGGGTAACGGTTGATCAGAATTCCAAATAAGGTGACTTAGAACCTCATTTCTTTCTCTTCAATTTCTGATTGCTATTTCCTTTGAGTTGATTGCATTTTGGATGAACTCCACCCATTTCATGATCTTAAATTGGCTTTGAGGAGCTCTAACAGTTACATGAATCCACATTCATGAACAGCAAAGCGAGAATGCAAGTTAGTATATTAAAGAAAAAAAATGTTGTGCCAGGCATGGTGGCACATACCTGTTAGTCCCAACTACTCAGGAGGCATGGAAACTTCGAGCTCACCTGGGCAAAAGAGCAAGACTCGGTTTCCAAAAAACAAACAAACAAAGACTTTAGAGTCACTTCAGACCAGCTTAACTGTGCCAATCCCAAACTATTCATTATGAACATAGATGGTGTATTCAGATGGGCTCTGCTAATCAGAGCCCATCTCTAGGGCAGGTGTGGTTGATCCCATCTAAATCACAAAGCCAAGCATGGAGGGAGGGGGTGGGTTCCGCAAAGAAATTCTGGCTACTACTTCAAGAAGGAAGAAAAAATGGACACTAGGCAACTAGTAATAGGTATTCATTGCAGATATTTCAAGAATCTATATCCTGCTTCTTTAGAAAGAAATTTAAGACATTAACCCAAAACTTCACACATTTTCTGCTGTTACCTGACACATTTTTAAAAAACAGACATAAGGGTTAAGTCATTTCACAGTATTTTTATTTCTGTTATTTTGTCTCACTAAGGAGACCTTGCTATGAAAGTGGTAATAATACATGCTTTATCTGGAAGATTTTATTCAGTAAGATGTTCACATTCAAAAGAAAATCCTAACTCTGATGACTCAAACTCAAGCATACTTTTTAGTTGATGTCCCTTTTTTATTGTGGTGTTTAAAAAACATGACTTCCTAAATATTGTCAGACCACAAAAGCACTATTGAAATGTCAGTCTTCTTTTCACAAGGCGTAGCACTCATCATTGTCTGTGTGATCATGTTCGTTGGTGCACACCTTCACCAAGTCACGACTTTTTGGGTTTTTGGTTTGTTTATTTTGTTTTTGTTTTTTGGACTTTATCTTTTAAGAGGTCTCCTTACAGTTCTGGGTTTCCTTTTGCCAACCTCCCCCACCTCTACCACTTCCTAGGCTTGCAGTATTTTTTCTAGCTGAAGTTCTTTATCTTTCTTTTATCTGCCAAAATCCAGAAAGAAGAGCCCATAGTGAAATGAATACTTTTAGTCACCCCACCTCCTAAGCTGCCTGCAATCTGTCTTCAACCACTATAATTTGAATCTGCTTCAAGTTATCAGTGGCATCAATCTTCATCCTACTGAAATATTCACATGGTTGATAACAACCTCTTTTGTGAGTTTGCTCCTCTTATCTGATTGGTCTTCCTCTGTCACCCCTAATAAGTAGCCATGTCTTTCTATTCTAATCACTCTCACCTCTCTTCTACCCAATAAAACCCAGAAAAGTTTAGTAAGGCTCTGTTGTCCTGGCCCCAACCTTTCAGCTTTCTCTTCCATTTCATCCTTTCCTTACCACATTGATTGAAAACTCACTGCTCAAGACAGGTCACCTGTGCTTTCTTTTTTTTTCATGGTCCCCTCAAGGTTCCCTTTGGAATCTCTTCCTTCAAGACCCAGCTTAATATCAAGGATATGTGCAGAAGGAAAAAGAGAAAAATTATAAAATTGTTTAATTTGTTTAAAAATTAAAATAAATTAAAAAAAGACCCAGCTTAAATGTTTTCCCCTCCAGGAACACTGTTCTTGTTCCCCTCAAGTTGTAAGTCACGAATTCCAACTCCATCAACCAGGTCCAAGCTACCATTAGCTCTTGACTACTCTTTTGTATAATAAAAACTGCTTAACTAGTATCCCTGCTTCCTGTTTCCTATTTGTTTCTCCATACAATCACCAAAATGATCTCTCACACAATCTACACTCCTCACCATGGACTCTAAGGCATGACAAGATCTGGCTTCTGCTAATCTTTGGCCCAGGTACTGTGCTAAGCATTTTATTTAAATTAACTCATTTAATCCTCTTAATAACCCTACAGCTATGTACTTTTAATATCCTCATTTTCATTAGATGCTGTTGGTGACTCACCCAGCCAGATCCCTTTTACAGAGCTAGTGCACCCATACCCTAGCTGCTCTAGGTGTTGGCTGCTAACAGCTCACAACTCCACCCTTGTTTAGAAGATTGCCCTTGGCTGAGGAGAGGCACCAAGCCACTCCTCTAGCCCTTATTCCCATAGCCAGTAGTCAACGACTTCACTGATGTGGGAACCTAATGGCCCACCCTCCTCACCTCCGGGCAGGAAAACCACTCTAGTCCAATTCATTCTGTAGAGTGTCCCGTGGGGTCAGGGTGAGGCTACACTACTCCTGAAACTCTTCTTCCCCTGCCTTACCCTGTTTTTTATACTCCATTCCAGATTTCTCCTAAGAGGACTCTCTTAATCACTTGCCTAAGAATCCCCATCTCAAGCATTGCTACACAGGAACTGATTCAAGACACCATTTTACAGATGAAGAAACTTAAGACAAAGAGAGGTGAAATGATTTGCCTAACATCAAAGAGAAAGTGAGAGAGCTGAAATTTGAAGCCAGGCAGTCTGGCTGTCCAACCTGAGCTCTTTCCCACCACACATTGTAATGGCCACTTCACCAATCTCTGCCCCCGACTCATCCCCTCTAGCCAAGTTAATTCCTGCCTCGGGGACTTTGTTCTGCAACACTGTCCCCAACTCTGCTTTAGTTTTATTCATAGCATTTAATGCCTGAAACTATAATATACGTATATTTTTCTGTCACTCACATTAAAATGAAAATTCCCTGAGGGCAGGAATGTTGTCTGGCTTATTTACTGCTATATCCTCAATGCTTGGTGACACACTTGGCATAGAGCAGGAGTCTAGTTGCTATTTGTTGTTAAATGAGTGAAATGAGTTCTCTTTACTCAGAATTTACAGGGCTCTGTAGAAGTTTCTTTGCATGCTCTTAATATAGAACTGTGGTTATTTAATGCATATTTATTTATTATGCAAGCTTGTATGCTCTTAGAGAACAAGAATAATGAATTACTAATTTGGGAGTATATAGGAGGCATTCAAATAATGTTGCTATCTCTAAAACTCCAAATATCAACAGCAGTTTGTGTGTACATATTGGGACTAATATCAGGATTTCATATGAATTATAGTATAATCTGGAAGTATGAAAAAAATACATCACATTAAATATAAGGCATTCCTACGAATGTTCCAAGATATTACAGTAAATGCAATTAGGTACTTATCATTTCATCTTTATTTTAAAAACAATGCCATTTCCAAAATATAAAAAATAGACCTATTTTCAAAGACCTATTTAAATAGGGCCTTGAAAACCACAATGTTTTATTTACATCAAATAGATAGCATAACAGCTTTCATAGATGCTTCTGATAAATAAAAATACTAGTATTATTCTGGCATCCCTGGGGTAGGCCTTTATAAGTTATAGATATCTACAATGATTCTTAAAGATGAAATCAATAATGGCCATTAATGTAACTGGTATTTCAACCTGAATTTGAGCAACCAATGCAGATCAACCATTCATTTGGTATCTAGGCCCACATCCAAAAATTTAAGTAGAAAGTTAAAGTTTCTCATTTCCACTCAGTTTTTCAACAAACACATCCCAAATATTCCAGCATCTCTAAAAGGTGATCTATTTAGCATCTTCAATAATTGATTTATAGCCATATGTTAAATAAAAGCTGACACAGCTGGATCCTAGAAGTTAGGATTTTAAAAATTGAAAACAACTAAGTACCTATTCTCTCCCTCACCCTCCAAAAAATACTGGATCCAAGGTTATATTTTAAATTATGGAAGTCTCTGGGGGAAAAAATTAGCCATAATGACAACAGATGTCATATTTCTCAGAGAAGTACATAACTTCTCAAATTTTACTAGTTAGTGCATCCCAACTGAATTAAAATTAAAGCATATTTAAAGTGAATTTTTTTCTCACTAAAAACTCTCAATTCTAAAATGGTCTGGATGGGCAACATCTTATCCAGTACATCCTTAAAGTTTAATTTAACATGGAAACACACAATGACATTCTTGTAAGAAGCCATTTTCTAGCTATTGCACAAAGGTTAATTTTAAAGCCAATTCAGGCAAATAAGTTCAGAAAAAGCAGCACATTGATTTAATCCATTTATCAAATGTTGCAAATCAGCTTCTACTTGAACAGTGAAATGGAGAAATTTGTGAAACTCTACATTTGTTGTCAGTTTTAGCATTGTGCTGACAGCAGTCACTTCAGGCAGAGGTAGCCAAATCCCATACATATGGGGAAGGCAAAAAGCAGAATAACATTGCAAAGACTTAGCAGTTTTTTGACTTATAAAAATTACAGACCAATTTCGATTATGAGCCAAGTTGCTATGCAGCATTCTTCTGAGTTTACGCCTCAAACACAAAAGAGCTTGTTGCCACCTTGAGCAGATACATTGGAATTATCTTCTCTTAGCTTACTTTCTCTTTTCTCTCAGGTCCAGTAAAAAATGTGAGACATTTTCATACACCACAAAGGTAATACAGCAGGCTGGAGTCACTCTAATCAAATTGGGGGCAATTCCTTTGTAAAATCCACCAATGCCTTCTTTCCTATAGAGAAACATAGACATATGCTTAATTTCCTAAATAGCTTGAAAACACAAACATTTAACTAACACAAGGCATGGAGTGAGCAGTCAAACCTCCCTCTAAGTCCATGTTTTCAATGTCCTGAAAAATGTAGTTTACTAACAGGGGTTTACATTCCTTTTATGGACTGACTGAGGAAGAAAGAGTAGAAACACCTCAAAACAACCAAAAAGTGCTTTAAATTAACCATCTTTCAATGTATGAACATACAGGAGTTTTAAATAATTTCATGTAGGCACTGACAATCTTATAGTTGGCTGGGCACAGTGGCTCATGTCTGTAATCCCAGCACTTTGGGAGGCTGAGGCAGGAGGATCGCCTGAAACCAGGAGTTCGGACCAACCTGAGCAACATACTGAGACCTTGTCTCTACCAAAAAAAAAAAAAAAATTGTTTTAAATTAGCCAGGCTTAGTGGTGTGAGCTTGTAGTCCCAGCTACTCAAGAGGCTGAGGGTGAGAGGATCACTTGAGCCCAAGAGTCTGAGGTTACAGTAAGCTATGCTTGCACCACTAAACTCCAGCCTGTGCAAAAGAAGAAGACCCCATCTCTAAAAATAAAATGAAATAAAAATTGCATTGCTTATATGCTTGACAACACTAACTATAGCACACACAAAAAGAAAACTTTATTTCCTTAAAATGACTAGAATAGGAGATACTACCTAGAAAGTTGTCACTTAGGTTTTCATTAAATATTGAATTGAACTAGATTTAAAATTCTAAATATTCTGCTTTGGCTTATGAAAATTAAAGGGATATATAGTGATGTCCAGCTGTAACAGTTTAACTAGTCTCATACTGAAGAACAAGCATTTCTTCCACACATGGAGACAAGTATTTGCAAAAGTTATTGTGTCACTAGCAGGTGTAAGGCCTTCTCAAATGTATTAAACTAGGTTTATAACTTCTTATATTTGATGCCATTCAAATATTTTATAACACCTAAATTTTGTTTAATTAATTTTTCAAAACATTTTCACAATTCATTTAATGTTTATAACAACTTTGTTAGCCCAGATAGTCTAATTTTACAAATAAAGAAATCAAGCTTCAGAAAGATTTAAGTCCACAGTCATATATGAAGTGAATGGGAAAGCAGAGACCACCAGCCATGCTTTCACCACAGCAAACTGGCCTTTGCTATAAAACTAATAAAGCTAGACAATCTAAGATATGCAAGGCACCTCATCCGAGCAATTTTGAAATATCCCATGTTCTCACCTCCATGTTTTTGTGATTACATCCATTACACCACTATAAAATATGTGTTGATCCTGAAGACGAGCTCTCACAACTTGATATGGGTATGTTGCTGATACAGCAAATATTTTGGATAGTGCTGCAACGGATATATATTCTACTGTGCTCTAAAATGATAACACAAAACATTTATATTTTTCTTTAGACAGGATTCTTTAAAAATATAGTAGTAAAATTATATAGAAAACATTTTAATGGATCTTTAAGGGGCTCTATTTTTAATATTTGCATGGCATTAGCCCAAAAAATATTCAACTATTTAAATTAGTGGCAGTCAGTACTCATCATCATAGCAATACTAACAAAATAAGCCTAACAAAATTTCCACCTATTAAATGCACATAAAAGCAAATGATAACATTTTTATAAGAATTATCTTACCAACTGGGCGTCTGGTAATCTATTAACATGCTGGTTGTACTTCAACTTTAGCAATTCATATGCCATAAACTGAAGGGCACCATGGGATGTTCCAAACAATCCAGGAATAAATCCCTAAAAGGGAATGGTTAAGGTTTATAGTTTTCTTATAAATACCATACATATAAACATAAAAAAGACCTACACTATCAAGAACTGGGGTGTGAATGGGAGATTAAATTCTGGAAAGTTATGAAAGTAAAGGTAATAGTAATTCAACAAACTGAGCATAGATATTCTAAATTAATAAGGTAAGAAGTGATGAAAAAGAACATAGAATTGAATGATATATTTCTAAAATTTTTGCCCATAGGTCAGTAATCCACATCAACCTTATAATGTTATGATTTTAAAAGCTATTACACAATTCTTAAAAAACAAACTAAAATTCCATATACCTAATTTTGATTTTAAACTATGTATGCCAAAAAAAATTTCATGGGGATAAACAAGAGGTGGGAGTGGAAGGTAGAGAAGTGGGAAATAAAGAGAAAAGGAGTTATATAACCAGAAAACTGATCTATCTTATTGCCACAAGGAAGAAATTTTTTAAATACTACAATAGGCAAGGGGCTGTGTTTAAATCTCAATAAAATAAGATTCTGTTAGACCTGCTAATTTCTTCTCCATACTATATTATCCCAAGTTTCCAAAAGATGAGCTTCCAAGGAGTGGAGTAAGAAATAGGCAACCTGGTTGTGTGACTTATCCAAAAGATACTTGACAAAAGTTTTAAATGGTTCTCACATCATCACTATCATGATGATATATTTTAGGGCAATGAGGGTAAATATATTTTCAATATTATAAACTAGATTTCAGTTTTCATTAAATTCCTTCTTGCCTAAGTTTGGCTTCTTTTTAGGATTGACTATAGATCATTCAGAACCAAGACAACAGAGCCAACAGAAATTACAAGTTTCAGTTATTCAAAATATATTGATAATTTGTTACCTTATACAATCCACGCACACCTTCATATTTATATATTTTCACAAGTGTGTCAAACATTCCTTTATATTGCCGCTGTGGAGAGTTAACAACACCATCATACTGTAACATCAGGCGAGTTTTTGTTACCCATAATGGGTTTGTAATGCAGAGGGTCATGGCTCCTAAAATGAGATTTCGATAATATTACTCCGCATATAGGTACTTTCTCACTTATGACAATCCAAATTAAGAACAGTCTATTTATATAAAGAATGAGATTGCACAGGAACTGTATCTGAAACAGGATTTTAAAAAATTATATACAAGTAAAAATTATATAGAAAAAACATTTAAATCGATCTTTAAGGGGTTCTATTTTTAACATTTACATGGCATTAGACTATAAAATATTTATTGTGGTTGAGTATTTATTGTGAAATGTGAGCTTTGAGGAAGAGTCTTAGGGTGAAAGAGTAGACACAGTTTTTGGTATTTGTAAAAAGTTCCTCATGCAGTTAGTGAGAAGTAAATTAAAAAGGAAATGAAAATGTCAAACACTTTCCCTTTGAGGTATAAGGACAGCAAAGATATCCTGACTCCTAATAATGTGGCCTGGTGTAGAGAATAGTTGGTAAGGAGACACAGATGTTAGAAGTAGGAGACAGTATAAACCAAAGGGGGTAAGGATTAGAAGAAAAGGACCAGGAACCTAACACACCTCAATAACCTGTGCATGTGCACATGTACAGCTGCCCCAACTTTATCGCAATCTTCCTCAAATCCAAAGTAGCAAATACCCCTCAAAAATTAAATAACTACTATGTAATGCAGTAAGTCACATTTTACATCCTTTATAGAAAGTGACAATTTTGTAAAAAATTTCATCTGGTTAAGTTTCTCATTTGCTGAGTTTCCTAAGTAGTCCTTCATTCAACAAATATTTACTGTTATGATTCCAATCTCTGCTAGTGACTAGGTATTCAAAAATGAGTAACATAGTTCTTGCCTTAAGAAACAGTCAGTAAATATTAAGAAACTAATGTATGCAAGGTATCAAAGTAGGCCCCTTATGAAGACTTATGGGTCTTACTTTGTTTTTCCTTCTGGATAGTATACATACATAATCTAATCAAACATGGCCACTAAATCGTATAATTTGAAAGCTGAAATTATATATTAATCAATTAGAATACCTGCTTTCTAATAAATCCCATGTAATAACTGACTAATAGTTAGATGAGCACGTTTAAACTCTGGTGTTGAAAGGAAAAAAGGCAAATAAAATAAAAAACAAAAACGAAAATTAAGTTTGGAAGGTGATATTTTCTATTTCATACATTCTCTTACCAGCTTCAGCAGCTGAGATGAGGTATTCTGTTGCCTCTAACCGTTCAGCTCTTCCTTCTGTCTTATATGATTTGATGGCATTGTAACTAAAAGAATTCAACATAAGCAGTTTCATTTGAATAGGTGTCAAAAGAGTAAAGTATGTTTTAAAGTGTGTATAACAACAGTACCCCACAAGTAAAAGTGCATAATGCAACCACAAAATGAGAACTTTTTCAAGAATGGATTTGCTAGAAATGGTTCATTGAACGCTCATACCACCCCTCCCTCCTAATGTATATGGCTAGAAACACATATGTAAAATGTTTTAATCAATTAATAACAAGCGACAGGAAAACTGGGGAGAAGGGAAGGAAAGGTGTATGGTAGTGCAGAGACTGGGTTGAAAAGGCACAAGAGAACAAAGAAGGGGCACCTAACAACTATGTGCTGAGCACTTATGATCAGGTACCATCCTGATAGCTAAAAAAGATAAACACATGATGGATTTTTCTTAACAGACTAACAAGGACCTTAAGAGGTACACAAATAATCATAATAAAAGACAACACAGACAGTAACATAGACATTCAGAAACTATGACTGAGACCACAAAAGCCTTTGTGTAGCAGGTGGCACTGAGCTGGATATTGAGAGACAGACATACTTTCAATAGGGAAAGAGATGAGCATGAGGAAAAATAATGAGGGTGGATGGGAAGATAGGGCAAACTGAGTCACACTTGAGCAACAGACTGAGACTGATTTTCTTTAGCAGAAAATAGCCACTAAATGTTTTTGAACAGGGGAGTCAAATTAGCCTATTATCTCTAAGAACAAATTCTACCTTCCTCTTGGAAGACTTCAGCTGAATATATCTTCTCAAATTTTATCAATACCATTCTAACATGAAACAAGTAAACTCTTTTATTGTAAGAAATTCTGCACATAAACCTTATATTCATATGGTTTGTCCTTAGAAACTCTCTTGGAAAATCTATTCAACTCAAATTCATAAAGCATTTATATATGTGTGTGTGTGTGTATATACACATACATATGGACACACACATATATATGTGTGTGAGTACATTTTAGGACTGAAAATAATATTTAAACAATACTAAGTCTGAATTTTATTTTGCTTTCACTTAAAAGATACTTTAATGACACAAAGGGAAAAAGGGAAAATACACTAGGTATTGATGTTTTCCTAAAAATGTTATCTGCTAAAACAAAAAAAAAATCTTCCCCATTCATGGCTTCAGTTTCAAGTATCAGAGGCATGCTTAGAGCAGCACATGCTCCTCCAACGCAGTGCCATGAGCTTTGTTACATGCTGTTGTACACTCAATAAGCTGAATGTGCATGCCATAGGCACTTTCTGTGGCTTCTTCAGGAGGCATGTGAGAGCAGTTATTTCAAATGGGGTGATGATATCTGACAAGGGAAGGAGTAAGGACATGATTAAGCTGGGAAGATGATGGTAGGTCAAATAAAACATAAGAAGCAATGTGCTTCAAACCCTTTCAGCCATGCACTAGCTTTTGCTTTCTGTTCTCAATAGGGATCTCCTGTGGTACATGTTCACAGGAGGACCCCAAGGTCTGTCTTCTCCTGCTTTCCAACTTCATTATGAATCAAACGTATTCATATAAGCCATCTCAAATATTTTGGAAATCTGGTTGAGATTAATTAACAACTATCTAATGATACTTCAGCATTTATGAAATTTTCTATTTTGGGGGCATTCTGGAGCCAATCTCCATAAATGGAGAAAATAACTTACTTGTTTAAACAATCTTCCTTTATCAAAACTGGATACAAAGAGAACTGAAATTCATAGGATTCATTTTAGACAACAATTTCAGGCTCCTCCAGTCTCTACAATAGTTTACAAAACTACTACTATATAAATAACAAACTGGCCAATCCAACTTTTTCCAATCTATTTTGACTATTAGAAATGCTCAAGAATACACACTCATATGTCAAAACACCTCAAAAATAAAAACTGAAGGAGCTCTATAATTTCATTGAGAATTATCTAGAGGTAGCTGTTTTTTAAATGGCTTTAACTAAAATAAAAAGCTTTTTTCTAACATGTGAGTATTCACCTTACAAAAGTAATCAGTTAAACATTTTACCTTCCTCAATTCACCTCACAGAAATGCCTTCTGTTAGAGTATTTCTCCATTTCACCCCTTCACCTTTTTCCTATTAAGAACTTTCTTCCAGAAAAAATGCCTCTGATAATAGCTGATGGGAAATGAAACTAAATAAGCCATTTTGCTCTTTCTGATCCAATTCAGAGAAACCGATTAAATGATTCATCTTGTTTTATTATCTGATATGTAAAAATCACTAAAAACAAAAATTCCTTTTTACTTAATATTGTAAAATCTCCCAGTTCTACTCACAAGAAAAAGTACAGTCCCCAGGATAAACCTGCACCCCAGACATTTGGGGTTACTCCTTGATAAAGTCCTCGTAGTCCATCAAGTTTCCAAATGGTAGTCAAGCAATGTAAAATTCCTTTATATTTCGGTCTCAGTTCCAATCCATCACTCACTGCATTATAGAATACACAAAGTTAGGTGAAAACAAAGTTCCAGCTCTGAATCACATATAAACATAGATATCACACTATCAGTTATACAAAGGAGAGAAATTTAGAAGGTAGAGAAAATTATTTTCCAGGATTACCTAATACTTAAAAATTAATATATTCATGAATTAATCCAAGCATTTATGGAGGGCATACTAAGCACTCAAATAATATTTTAGGAAGTGTTAGACTGGCTCTTAAATAATCCAAAAGTCCCTTAGGTAAATAGGTTTCAACACTTAAGTTTTGTTTTAGCTCCAAGATTAAGGATTCAAATGTTCAAAAATATTACTCAAAAAATAAACTAGCCAGGCGCCTCAATGACATCAGGAGTGCTGGCAAGACCTGAGGAGTGCACCAGCCACACATGAGCAGGCCCAGTTCACTGGCCCCTTGCCACTGCTGATTGTGTACAATGAAGCCTGACAAAGAACAAGCACTGACTGTTTAACATGCAAGGCAAAGAGGGGAAAGTCAATTTCTTTCATCGTTAGCCTGCCAATGTTACAGCACGAAGTGAGATTAAAGTACGCTAGGTTTGTCAAAAGACCTGGGTTTGATATCCAACTTAGGGACGTTAGCTAGATGGTCTTAACCTTTCTGAGCTTCAGCATCCTCATTTATAAAATGGAGATAAATATCATCTACTTTGCAGGGTTTATAAAAGATAACAAATTTAAAAGCAGGTAGCAGAGTGATGGGTTCTTCAGAAATGTTTTCCTATGTACTTTACAATCTTTCTGATGCTTCCCTTGAATTCTGCATCTCTCATTCTCCTGTATAAATTTCTTCTAAGTATCTTTCCACTTTCTTCTCAATAATAAACTCATGACATAATTTCTCTCTTGAGGTAAAAAGCAAAACAAACCACAAAAACACCACCTTTGCTATTCATAGGCATAAATCAATGCTTTCTTTATTGTTTTGAGAAGTCACTTAATCTTATAAGAGTATTAAGTATCTCAGAAATAGGCAAGAATGATTAGGAGCACATCTTCACAAGGGGAGAAAGTTTATCTCTAGATAGGCGAAACAGGTGGTGCTGTCCACATGGCAGTATCATAGCCTCTGGCACAGGCTGGAGGCAGCACTGGGGAATGGGTATAACTGAAGTACCAGGCTGCTGGAGGGAAGAGATGGTAGGGAATTAGGCTGGAAAGAAGGGCAGGGACCTGTTACATGGACTGAATTGCCTCTCCCAAAATTCTTATCTTGAAGTAAGAACTCCCAATGTGACTACCTACAGACAAGCCTTTAAGGTTAAATAAGGTCACGCGGGGCCCTAGATCATATAGGATTGGTGTGACTATAAGAAGAGGAAGAGACACCAGGAGACCACAAGCACAGAGAAAAGGCCACCTGTAAGCCAAGGAGAGAGGCCTCATCAGAAGTAAACTGTCAGAACCTTTATCTTGGACTTCCCAGACCCTAGAACAGTGAGAAAATAAATTCCTGATGTTTAAAGCACACCGTGGTTTTTTGTTATGGCAAGCATAACTGCAAAGGTTCTTAAAAATCACATGTAACAGTTTGGCTATGATCTCAAAGCCTCAAATTTCTCAAACTTGGGTCCAAGTGTATCTAAGATAATCAAATATGTATTTTAGAAAGGAAATTCTAGTGGCCCCAAGGAGAGTGACTTTGGAGGTAGAAAACCTGGAAGCAATGAAAGTTGAGAGATTATTACAAAGTTATTGAGATGAAGAGGACCTGAACTAGAGCCTCCCTAATGTCAAATTAAAATTGCTACATAGGGTGGGTACTGTGGCTCACACCTGTAATCCTAGACCTTTGGGAGGCTGAGGCAGGAGGATTGCTTGAGGCCAGGACTTTCAGACCAGCCTGTGGAAGAACGAGACCCAGCTCCACAAAAAACAGTCCCAGATACTCAGCAGGCTGAAGCAGGAGGAATGCTTGAGCTTAGGAGTTTGAGGTTGCAGCGCACTATCAATGATGCCAATGCACTCTAGCCAAGCTAACAGAGGGAGACCCTGTCTCAGGAAAAAAAAAATTGCTATTTAGATAAAATACAGTCACTTTTTTTGGTCTAAATGACCTGGCAATTGTCTTAAAAACATTTGCCATTTAAGAATTAATATACAGATTGAAGTAACTCTCAAATAACTGTTATACAGCCTGTGACAGCACTAATGCCAGTAGGCATAAGCTGAAGATGAAGTTTCATGTATGGGAGGAAGCCAAGACAAGAATGCTAATTTTATTTTTGAGGAAAGACACACAAAGACTTTTTAAAAAATCACCACCTAGCACTATCACACTAATATAATCTGCTTCATTTGCTGGATATTAATTTTACCTCTCCTTTCCTGTGTCACAACTGAAAAGTTTGTCTCTCTTAATAAAACTAATCAAATTAAAACTAAAACTTAATAAACTTAATAAAACTAAATAAAACTCTACCTATGCTCTATATTGGTATTTTTAAAACTGCAGATAAGCTAAGAAATAGATTCAGCAGATTGCTAGTATCATTTCTTTAAAAAAGAAAACAACAGACTGGAATAGAAATTTATAAATGACATCACAAGTAGTAAAGATAAGTATTGTTTGATGAAATATGTGTTTCAGTAATGTTTATATATATGTATACACTGGATGGCAAAGGTTGAATTTATTTCCTAGTAAGGGTTCTGGTCAAAAAAGTTCCTGGTCCCTTGGCCCCCTTTAGTAACCTCACTCATTATTACCTTCCTGCCCCCATCTCCAATCTCTCCCTTGCTTTCAGCTATTTCCCATCAGAATTTAAATAGACTTAAGATTGTCTCCTCTTTGATTCCAGTGCCTCCCTATCAGTTAAACTTCTACAATGAGATAAAGTCAACAATCTCAGCAGGGCTTTCTCACCTCCACTGCAATCTGGTTTAGGCCTAACCCACTGCTTAGAGTATGCTAGTCAAAGACTTCCAAAAGCACTTGAGGAGTCCGCTTTCTTATGACTCCCTATTGTCACATGACACTGTTTGCCTCCTAAAAGTCTCTTCTTTTTAACACCTTCATATTTTCCTCTTACTTCTTTGCCACAAAACTTCTTTGGCCACCTTTTCTTCTACCCATCCTTAAATATTGAGTTTTATAGGCATTCTTTCCACCCAGCTGGGGTGGTCTCTCAACTACTAAGCGGCTTCAACTGCCATTCCTGTGCTACAGTTTCTCTATCTCCAGTTCTGATCTCATTCCTAACAACCAGACCTGACTTTCGTTTCTACATGGCATAGAAGATATGTCAATATGGCCGCTTCTTAACTTTCTGGAATCACTCTTTATTTTCATCTCTAGCATTTTAATTTACCAAGCTACCCACTCATGATTTCACACTAACAACATATGATATGGAATCAGATTTATTGGGTTTGAAAAATCCCAATTCTAACAATTACTGTGTGACCCTCAATAAGTCCCTTTATTACTGTGCCTGAGTTTTCTCATCTATAAAACAGGAAAAATATTAGAACCTATCTCTAAAAATTATAAAAGATTCAATGAGTCAATACATGTAAAGCCCTTAGAATCATACCTGGCATATTGCAAACACTCACTAAGTATTAGCTTATTTATGCTACTGGGTCCTGCAGTACCAAATACATATGATACTGTGTGTCATTCTTCTTAATGAATTCATCATTTTGGTTCCTTGATTAATATTTCAGATGTAGTCATACTCTCTTCTTTCTACCTTCTTTACAAAAACTCACACATATCTTTAACTTGTAGATTATTAGGCTTTTGGGTTATTTTAGAAAACTATTATTTTTACACCTCATTCACATTCTTCTTTGGTGGGGCTCTTTATTATTCTTGAAGATTTAAAATTGTATCATAAAGTAAGAAGGGGTCCCCAGTGATCATCTAATCCAACCTTTCCACCCCAAGATAAGAATATCTTCTAAGCTCTGTCATCCAACCACTTCCAGTCATCACCAGTTTTATTTCTGAGCACCACGGCACTTTGCCAGGCCAAAATCTGCTTCCCTCTAACCTCATCCTATGTCTGACCTCAGATCAAACCACAAGGCAGCTCCCTTTCCTACATGGAAGTTCTCTAAATATCTTTAAGGTTTTTTGTTTCCCCTCCAAGCTAATCTGGTTCCTCTAGTTATTTCTCATGCGAAATGATTTCTAATCCTTCTACTACTCTGAACACCTTTGAGTTCCAATTTACACTTCAACTCACTGAAAAATTCCAGGTTTGGCTTAATAGTACATGCATTCAGGACTAAGTCTCCCCCTACCCCAATCACTAGATATTATTATTACAAAGTCCTGCTTTGACTCCTAGATCTTTAATTTAGACCTCCCATTCAATGTCAATGCCTTTAGACTGTCACCTCAACCCTACTAGTCTCCCAATACTCTCATTTCATCAACACTATCAATCTTCTCAGGTACCAAGAATTCCCTTTCTTCAGGCATGATGTGCTTCACAGCACTGCCGTAAATTCACCAGGCCAACCATGCTACTCCTCAATCTTCATCTCAACTGTCACATCTTCCACTCCTAGACAAAATGTTGCCGAAGAGAGACAAGTCACACAGGCCTGTACCTACAGCAAAGTCCAAAATTCTTCCCTTCATGTTGAGCCACTGGATACCAGTGACCCGTGGAAGTAGTGAGTAGTTAAGTGCCAGAGGATTCTGGAATTAGACTGCCTGGGTTCAAATCCCAGATCCATCTTTATAAACTTGTGACTTGGGTAAGTTAGTCAACTTCTGTTATCCCCATCTGTATAGTTGGGATCATAAATTCACAGGAGAGAGAATGAGACAATGCATCTGAGTTCTTAGCTCATTGCTGTGGTCCTAGTAAATGCTCAATAAATGTTACTTGTCAATTGTAATCATAATTATTTGTGCATACATCATAAAGTTCCTGAAAACACATGCCTTTGTAGTGCTTTCTTAGGGATAATAAGCCACAATTTTCAATGATTTTCTTTCATAGAATGGCTTCTTGCCTCCTCTATGGTTGTCAAAATATTCCTTCTATAAGGAACCTCAAGATCTAATCTTCTGTATAACCTTTACAGTACATAAGTCCATCAGCAATCTATAATTTTCTTGATAGTCTCTATCATTTATATTTTGTATTTGGATTTATTCCACTTTGCCCTTCATTTTATGCTGTCTAAAATTATTTTTTATATGACTAAGTCTCAGGTCTACAATTAGATTGTAAGTTTTCCAAGTGCAAGAATTTTGTTAGATACTTCTGTAGCCCATACAGCAGTCTACAAATATTGAGAACATATATCAAGTGAATTCAATAGAATCATCTAAGATAAACCAATTCTGCAGATTTAATTCTCAAGGCCGAACTTGTAATGAGATAACTGAAATGCCAAAAAAGTTCCCAAAGTTATCAAAGGTCATCTTTGAAACTCTGTTTCCTGACTTTGGTGTTGAGTTTAACTTCTAAAGTGATTTAAGTTCAACATACTTAATTCAGTCAATACACTTAAAATCGTAGATTCTAACTACCTATTCTTTCACAGGACTTTGTGCCACACTATAATGTCAAAAAAACAAGGAAATCTTCAAGAGAATTCTATTTCAACCTACTCCCAACGATCCGTTGAGGATTATGGCACTATCCCAAGAACCTGCATTTTCCTTCCAGTGGCGCAGCCGAACACGTGGCTACTCTAAGATTTCAAAGTACCTCCAAGGTGAATGACTTGCACGTGTTAGGACTAAGACCCGAAAAGTGACAATCCCTTCTTTAGTTCACAAATTAGGCTTTGAATCCCACTTACTCCAATGACAATTTTTTTTCTCAGACTTTTCTACCCCCACGCTCCATCCCTTTGTCTTGGGGAGCGGGAAAGACCAGACCCTTTTACCAGGCCCCCTTCCTCCAATCTAGTTCCGGATGAGCCAAGGCAGGCAGCATATCGTTCAACGCTCTCCTCAGAGTATGGAGACCAAAGCTTCTTTTTGAGTCTTTACCACCCAGTGCGGGCTGACAGTGAAAGGAAGCGGCCGGGTATCTGGCCTACTCTTACCGGCGAAGCGGATCTTCACGAGGTCGAGCGGGTGCAGCGCGAGGTTGGACAAGACCCCTCCGCTCACACCCGCTACCAGGTTCTCATACCGGACGTGGTGGAAAACCGTGCTCCACAGCGACCCCGGCTGCGACTGACCCTGGGTGGTCATAGGCTCCGGGCCCGCCGACACCACGGCGCCCAGAGCCGCGGAGGTGGGACGAGATGCAGTGGCCGCCACCGTGGCGACGGTCGCCACCCAGCAGCACGAACCTCAGGGCGCGAGCTCACTTCCGGGACCGGCGATAAGACTGACGCCCTGGACGCGGGAGCGCAGCCGAGAGATGCCGGCGCACAAGGGGCGTGAGAGGGGCCGCAGCCAAACGACACGTGTGCTGAAAGCGCGCTGGGGGCGGGTTGCCCGCCTCCGCCGATTCTCCGCCTTGCCCGGCCCACAACTACCGCCGGTTCCGACCAAACGACCTGGAGAGACCCCACAGCTGAAGAAACGCCCCCTGCCAGGCTTTGCCTGCAAAACTATGGAGCGCCACAAGATCTAACCGAGCTGGCGGCTGCCACCCCGTGGGTCACGTGACAGGAAGTAGTCTGCGAGAGGCGGAAGTCGCTTGTGCGGAAGAAGGAGGCGGCGAACCTAGTCTGAGGAAAGATCGTGGAGTCTGGAAGAGCCGCCAAAATGAAAGTGAAGATGCTGAGCCGGAATCCGGACAACTATGTCCGCGAAACCAAGTTGGACTTACAGAGAGGTAAGACAGCTTGGTGGGGAGAAAGGGACGCCTTCCCGAGTCCTTCGGTCTAGCCTGGACTTCACGGAGGAAAGCTGTGGGGAGCCTTGTGTTCCAGTCTGGTTCTTTCCCAGCTCCGTTTCGCCAAGGCAAACTTTGTGCAGATGGGGTCGTTGCGGAACTGGGTAGCAGATAATGGCTCTTCCACCTTACCCCTTCCAGCCGCTGCTCTTGGATTGTCCTTAGGTTCTTACAGTGGAAAAGTGAAACTTGAATGAGCCATACTCGTGGGTTGAAGGGTTTAAAACCTAAACAGACTTTTTAAACCTTCCTGCTGCTGTAACTTCTGGCCACTTTACTACTTTATATTACGTACTTCTGGATGTAAGGAGAAACAAAGATGAAATTTAAAGCCATCAGTTTTCTTTTATTAACTCTTGTGAAGTTCGATGGGAGAATGGTTAAAATAAAATTAATGAATTTTATTTATCTTTACGTGTCTGTTTATGGATAATAGTTATATAGTTATTACAGTTCGTGATACCTAAATGACAAGGGACCAACAGGTGTGAACAGATTTTTCTAAGTGAAGAGAATAACAGGTGGAAAGGCCTTCAGCAGCAGTAAACCTAGGCATAGAGAGAATGCCTGTGCCATCAAAGTTTGAATGAGGGGTAAGCAACACAAGATGAGGCTGGAGCAATACTTCACTATTTTGATTGAGTAGTAGAAATTATCAACATATATATGAGCACTACTAGAAAGGTAAATGGGTCTCTGCTCACAAGATGTTTACACGTTAAGTAACAAGGCAGTAATGTTTCTAAAATGCCAATTAAATTTGTCACTTGGACTTCACATCATTCCTACCCTTGAACCTCTGGTTCCATCTTCATCTCCATTTTTGCCTGTCTCTACTTTTCCCAGAAGTAGCTTACCATTCACCCTGGCCAACCTAAGTGCATTTCACGCATCCTCTTTCAGGCTTCCTTGGCACGGACCCTTACACAATGTAGCGCTTCCTCTGGAAAGCTTTCACTAACAATAATCTTTCCATATTTATCCCTTGCATATACCTCCCCAGCACCCCTCTTCTATGCTTCTATCGTATATTTTTATACTTCTATCAGAGTGTTTATCTCATTGTGTCCTGATTATTATTTTGATTAACAGTCTTTCCCTTCAGAAGTCTTAGCTTGCAGAGAGGAAAAGAATCATGTTTGTGTATGCCCTGTGTTTAGACAGCACCTGAATGAGTGGATGACTGACTGGTTAGAAGGTTATTAGTCATCTGATCTTGTTACTAAGGTGTTTTTTCTACCACATCTCCCCATTTCATTATACTGTCTGAAGTACGTGTTAATAGATAGCAAAATGGAAAAATAGACGTTTTGGAGCTCTGTATAACATGAAATAAGGAAGACATTCGTTATCCTCCTTTATTCATTTGTTTTTATATTGTGTGTTATTTCCTTGTAAATTTTGTGCAGTGTTCAATTGCTGGGGTGGGCACCCAGGAATCTGTAGTTTTAAACTTCTCTTGGTAATTCTGATGCAGCTGGTTAACATACAGATATTTGAAAACACCTTATGTAAATACATGCCATGTATTTATGAAGTATGATATCCTCAGTGCTTGTGGTATATGGCAGGTACTTCATCAATATTTGTTGAATGTTTATTGTTGACTGGATGTGTGAATTTAGAGGTGGGCATGATCATGGCGATTTGAAAAACTTTATAGAAAGACATACATTTTAAACTGAGTATTTTTAAGGGATACATAGGGTTTAGATAGTTTAGGATGAAAGTTGCCATACGTTCTTAGTGGAAGAAATGGCACGTGTGCAGGGACTCAAGAGAAGAAAAGTGCAAGGCAGTTTTCCGTGACAGCAAATAAACCAATTTGGCTGGAGCTGAGTTTCAAAAAAAACTTGAAGCTGAAGAGGTAGGTTGGGACTAGATTGTGGAAGACCAGAAAGGAGCTTGAATTTCATTCTTTAAGTCAGAGGTCTCTAAAATGGGTGTGCCAGGCTGTCCATTGCAATGTTGAAAAAACAATTAGAACTTCAATTTATGTTGTTTATCTTAACAAATTAATCTTTATTTATATAATACTTGGATTGAGACTGACATCCTCATTTTAGCCATATATTGGTCACATGCTATATGTGGTAATTTAAGTATCCCAAGAAAAGAATGAAGGATTGGCAGAGGTGTACTTGCTTCTACCTTTGGAATATTGCAACACATTATACTTTACAGTTATTGGGGACTTATATTATCCTATATAACAGAATCTTTATAATTATTTGCGAAGTGATGGAGAGGACCATGAAAGTCTTTTTTCATGCAGAAGTTCCTTGGTTATGTCATGGCAAAGTTCTTAGAAGAGCTGTGGAACTTACTTAACAGTGAATTAAACATTTTTAAAATTTGCCAGACTTCTGTGGCTATGGATATTAACCAGGAGTTTTTGGTTTTGATTTTTTCTTTTTTTAGAAAAAATAAACCACATAACCTGTTCCTTCAAAGTCTATTTTAATGATGAATGAGGAAGTGATTACTAAAGAGATTGTTCTGAAAATGTGTGCTTGGAACTGTTCTGTCATTTAAAAATTTTTGTATTGAAAATGATAAAAGTGTCTGACATTTATAAAAACTCATATTTGCCTACATGAAAAGATTTAGATACAGAATGATTTTTACATCATTGGATTTTTTTTTACTGTTAAAATTATTAAAATGCTAATTTTAATTGTAACAGCTGTTGACATCAGAGTAGATGGAACTTTTCTAGATATACTTCAAACATTTTTCAAAAATAACCTTTGTAAAACTGGTAAATGGGACTGAAAATAAAATATACTAAATAAATGTAGCTAACTATACACATTATCTCTTTGAATCTGCTTGTCTTTGTGAGGTATAGGCAGTCCTCACTTTGCACAGTACCTTAGTAACTGAACCAATCTCACTCACTCTTTTAGAGGTTCACAGTGACTAAAGTCACATGTACCACAGAACTGTGCAAAATGAGGAATTGGTTCCAGTATGCATGTGATCCTGTTTACACAGTACCATGCAAAAGTGAGCACTGCCTGAATCTTTTCCAGTGGCCATTAAAACCAATAGTTGAATTAAACTGAAATTAGAACCTTTGAAAATCTCTATATCACGGAGTTAAATCAAGATTAAAAAAAACAACAACAACCAAGCATATTTAATTACATACTCCTACTAAATAAATAGACATATATTAAGGGGAAGTGACCTGCTCAAAAACTCTGTTACTAATGGGGCACACAATCAAAAGAGTTTGAAGACTACTACTGTAAGGGAGCCTTTGAAAGTTTTGAGCATGGGCATGACGTGTAAAAAACTCTGTTTTAGGATGATTGATCTGATGCTAGTATAAACTGCCACCAAATACATAGTACTAGGCGTACAACAATGTCCCTAACTAAATGTTTATTGAATATCTAGTTGAGTGATTAGCTGAGGAAGACTACAGGAAATATTAAATGTGAATTATTTCATTAAGAGGAATCATTCTTATTTCAGTTCCAAGAAACTATGATCCTACCTTACATCCTTTTGAGGTCCCACGAGAATATGTAAGAGCTTTAAATGCTACCAAACTGGAACGGGTATTTGCAAAACCATTCCTTGCTTCCCTGGATGGTCACCGAGATGGAGTCAATTGCTTGGCAAAGCATCCAAAGAGCCTGGCTACTGTCCTTTCTGGGGCATGTGATGGAGAGGCAAGTGTCACTCTACACATTAATATTTTGAACTAAAAATTATTATATTACAAATGTTTTTCCTTTAGTTTTTAGTTACTGTAGCTTTTGCTTTGATTTTAATTTGATTCTCAAGACTAAATTCTGTTTGAAATAGTAAGTTTAATAGTTTATTATCTAAACCTAAGAAACAATTAATGCAGTAGCTTCAGGATCAATTTGACAGTAAATAAAATAATAAATCATGTTTATAATTAAAATATTAAGTGTGAGTATTTTCACAGAGGATGTTATTAACAATTCAACATGATTTTTACTCTGGCAAGGAAAAAAGTTTTGAAATTCTTTAAGCTACAATCAACAGAGTATTTGACAGATTGAATTTTCTGCTTGTTGATATACTTACCCATATGCATTGCCTTGTTTTCATCCAAAGTATTTTGGTTTTAGCTGCCTGGTAGAGTGATTCATGGCCTTTTCAATGTTAAATTTATTTTTCTTCAAATGTAGTACCCCTATGTCTGATCATTTTACATTTATAGTTCACTGAAATTTCCTGGTATGTTTTATCATAGGTTAGAATTTGGAACCTGACTAAACAAAAATGTATCCGTGCAATACAAGCACATGAAGGTTTTGTACGAGGAATGTGTACTCGCTTTTGTGGGACTTCTTTTTTTACTGTAAGTATAATGCCATTAAACTTTAGATCATTAAGTTTTATTAACATGTGTGAGAATGATCTAATTGAAGAAATTATTTTCAAGTTCATTTATTTGTTCCCAAGCCCTTTTGGAGTTTCACAATGTAAAATAGCTTATTAGACCTTGAAAAGCCCTACTTTTCTTTATGTAATCCAGCCTTCCTCATACTTTTTGACTTTTTATGAATAATGACTTAACATTATTGAACCAGCATTCTACACTGAGAAGTGGGATTAATGGAAGTCAAGCTAGAAGGGTAGTTTGGCTTACTCTGGAGGATTTTTCAGTGGTAAAATCAGTAAAATCAGTAATTGTACTTCATTTGTCAGATAATAAGGAATCGTTGAAGTTTTGTGGGGGG